TTTAATAATATACAAGTTCATATAAAACTCATGCAATACTGTAGAATATTTGTTAATACTAGAAAGAAATATTAAATATTTTTTTGCATTTATTATATAGTTACTTACATATTGCCACCCAACAGTTTGGAATTTAATGTAACAACCATAGATCCAATCCATACAATTACAAAAACTTCTGCAAATTCTGGTCCTCCATCATTAAAATTATCCTGTCCATCAGAAGAACTTTGTAATATCCTAAAAAAATAAGAAGTTTATAATCATAATTATAATAACATATGGAATATTCTAAATAATGCTGAACATACATTGCCATGAATGTGCACAATACTAATGGTCCCCAAAGATCCCCTACAATTAAAAAAATTGATAAATAAATAATTGATATAAAATTGTGTACATAATTTATAATATTTGTTCTTTTGGTAACTTACATTCTTTCAATAAGCTTTTCTTTTCTTTGGGATATAAAACGTAATAAAACTTTTTGCCTACTGCACGAACATCCCTGAGCTATAATGGAAAAAGTAGCAACACAATTGAATCAATATTATTATAATGTTAACTACTATAAATATACTTACAATTGTTTCTTTAACTGGTTCATCTAAAGTATTAAATTCAGGTTCTCCAATATTTGATTTTTGCTTCTCTGCTACTGTTAGCTCACCCTCAACATTCTGAAGGTCAGGATATTCCATTGTGAGCTTAAACTTAAAATAAAAACTTTTTACTAAAACTATGCTAAACTATGCTAAAGTTGTGGAAAAAAAGTTTAAGTACAGCATTGAATATTTGCTTGCACAAAATTTTCAATTGTAAAACATAATTCCAACAATTAAACGTATTTAATGTAATGTAATAAAAAAACACCACAAATATTACTTACATCAAGTGTTGTATCATCCGTCGCTGCCATATTTGTTGCCGACATTAAACTCGAATTAAAAAGTCATTAAATATATTACTTGAACGATACGTGTACATATGTTATTATCATCAAATCAGATAACTGCCATATGTGCGTAGCACGCGTAATTAAATCGTCTGCATTTAGTGTTTTTTCCACAGCTTAATCGTTGTACTATTACTGTATACGCAAAAAGCTTATACTGATTTAATACTATTCACTAACAATGTCAATAAAAAAAAATTCTAAAAACACATATACACATCACCATGCAAACGTTCTTACGGGTCACATAATTACAAGAAGAATACAGATCTTTTAATTATTTGGACGAAAATTAAGATTAACATTGATACATTCAACGTATGGAAGTTGATAGGTGGCAGTAGTGTTGGTATGTCGCGACTGCAACTTGCGGCTTTGCTCTGTCGATTAAATGCCGGTTAAGACCTCGTATAACATAACGATTTTTTTCTGGACAAGTATAAGGACAATTGACATTTAACAAACACTCCTTACCTTGACATATGAGTATTTTATTGGTATATTGTTTTATGTTTTAAGCGATTTTCTGTTTGATAAGATGCCACGCGTTCTACTTTACATTGTAATCGTATCGATGTTGACATATATCACGCATGCGCAACACAATCTTCCCGCTGTAGAGACTCAACAAATCAGCGGAAAATCAGAAAACAATAATTCATCATCTGAAATTAAAGTCTACGAAAAATTGTGTATCCATTGAAAATACATACATTCCACTCTTATTTATCGTCACTTATATACTTTAAAGAGATATAAGCATAAATATTTCTATTGCAGCAAAAATCATGTTTTAAAATATAGTATTTATTGATTCTTTCTTTATTGTTATTTTCATTTTATTCTTTCAATTTTAGAATGTGCTTTTCTTATTAATGTAAGTATTAAAGAGCAAATACTAGAGCCATATCACACAATTGAGAGTATGTTTAGAAATTTTTAAACGAAAAAATTATAATATTATATTACTGGTTAATTATTTATCAAATTTACAAGTATACCTTAACCAAGATCTTATTAGTCAAAAAATCATTTGGCTATCAACGTAAGGAGCACATGCAAGTCATTAAACGCCTTCAGAAAATAGACAGCTACGAACGTCTGTACAAGATGATCATGGTTCTTGGTGAAAAGATGATTGATGTGATCGAGGCAAGTAAAGCGTTAATCGAGAATGGGGGTTTTAACCCAGATAACAGAACTTTGCCACGAAATGTTACCATACAGAGTGGTAATTTTTTTTTATCTCTACTATTAACATCTTTCGTTTAAACGAAGAAACACATTTTCAATTTACAAAATCATAATTCAAATGTATGAAAAATTACGAGAGAAAATATTTGTTTATGAATTCAAGAAATGTTATACATATATTTTTTTTAGCAATATCTACTACATTAGAGAACACAGCATTCTTTGGAGACATTATTCTTCATTTTCCTCACATCACTCATCGTATACTGAGGACACAACAGATATGGAATCCGATCATACATTGGTCGTTAAATTTTATGAATCGAACAAAATATTTATTAGACACAGAAACAGTTGAAAGATTTCATCTAGTATCGCAAGAATTGAATATCGTCAAACGGGAACCGGAATACTTCAATCCTTACTGGCATTCTGCAGAATCTCGAAAAGAATACAAAGGGGAGGCAAAGAAAAAAAAATCGACGAGGAAAGAGAAGCAGAAAAGGGGGCCACAAATAACCAAGGTTGAACTCTGAACGTTCTTATGTTCTTTTTAACAGTTCTCGAAATCCGATTTATCAAACGTGTAATCTATTTGAATAAATAAATATTTTTAATAATTTCTATTTAAATATTTTTTTTATATACTTTATACGGTAGGATTAAATTATTTTCTTCGTTTTTATGAACGAAAACAAATGATTAATGATTCGAGAGAAAGTTTCTCTTGTAAATAATTCAAGGAACAAAGTTAAAGTATGTAAGCGTGCAGATTTATTACAGCTTAATGGTTTAATAGAATTAAAAAATTGGTTACAAGAAAAAGAAACAATGAAACGACTTCAAAAGAAATTATATAACAACGAAGAAAATTCTTTGCGTGCAACTTTCTATAAATTAACAAAGAGTTTTGAAATATTACTATCCTTAATAAATCGAAGATAAAAAATATTCGTGAAACATGTGTCTTTTAGAAAAATTTCTCTCTTAGATCTCTATTCCATATTTCAAGAAATTAACAATTGAAAACATATGTTATTACTGCTTACAATTTTGATTTCATTAGACAATATTTTACATTGAAGAATTTGTAAAAATAAATATTCCATAAAAATGTCTAAATTCCAAATACACCTTACATCGTCCTCCAAATCTTCAATTTCACGATGCACAGTTTTAGACAGGAAAAAATGACTGAAAAAGATTTAAAAAAAAAAAGAAGAAAGTGCAAAAAAAAATCCGTATCATCCTCGTTAAAAGTTCATCTTTTTCCATCCCAATGAGTCTAGGAAACTGGCTGGAGATTGTCTAAGTAATTCCTGAAAATTGTCAAAAATCCGGATTTTCAGCTGTGTTTACGCGGAACCGTTGTCTGTTCTAACACGAATAAAAGCGAAGATTTCTCGGCGGTCGGTTGACGGTGGTAGAAAGTGGTCAGCCAATGAGCTAAGAACGGTTCCTACCGTCCGGTTCCCGAGTCCCGTAGCCATGGCAGAGACGGTATTGCTGGCGAGTATTGGCCACCAGTGTCGTGACACTTGTTCTTTCACCCAGTGGTCCGTCGATGACGAGTGTGTTCGCGCACCACGAGCCAGAGAAACGAGACAGATTCGTCTATTTGCCGCGAGTGCAGTGAAAATTCGTAAAAAAATTCCTAAGGGACTGCAGAAACGTTCGTCAACGAAGAATGACACCGAAGAGGAGTCGATTGCTGCTCTGTGTGCTCGCGTTAACCGTCCCCACAGGTAGGAATGCACAGCTGCTTGCTCGGTGGAGAGATCGAACGACAGATCGAAGCTGCTGCTCGATGTAAAATTCCCGAATCCTATCGCGATCTTACCATTGAGAGAGAAATTTTTCCACTTGAAATTCGTTGGTTCTCGGTGAACAGGAGATTTGGAAGGTTTCATATGCGCAGCTGGAGAAATCACGCTCGTAAATTATATTTGTCGTTTAGCATTTGCCTTGAGCTGATTTTCGAGTCGTCGTCGTCGATTTTGTGGGAAAGGACTGAGGATAAGGTAGATGGAAAGGATAAAAGTATAGAAATAATATGAGATTCTTATTAACAGCTAACTTAATAATGTAAAGTAACAGTGATTGCATTAATTGTAAAGTATAACTTGAATTAATAATAATACACTGCATAGAAAAAAAAAATTATATCTCGTGTATCTTTTTATATTTATATTACTTTTACAATTTCTTTGGAATTACGAAATCATTGAATAATCTGAATCTAAAGAAATGATCAAGCTGTAATTGGTGCAGAATTGTTATAAACGTGGGTGCAACGAAAGAACGACCTTCTATAGACATTCTCTTCCATTAATTTGCAATTCTCCGGTAAACAACCTTAGAGTATTTTAAAACATAGAAAAAGTCCAACGCCATGGATGAAAATCGCAATTTACATGATCAAACTGTTCATAAAACTTCAATAAGGCGATCAATAAGAAAATTAATACTAATTAAGAAAAAAAATGCTTCGCGATATACTTTACGTTTAATATTACTTTACGTTACAAGTGGACGTTCATCGGTTAACTTTTCCGTTAATCCAATTCAAAGATGTTCCTTGACCTATTCCTTAAAATAATATATTACAAATAAATTAATAATAAATTAATAAATTATGAATAAA